TGCGTCATATTTTGTGAAAAAAAAAAAGAATCCTAGATATTAGTAGGTTTAACTACACTTGTTGGAATGTGTTTACGCTATCTAAGCGCAATAAACAAGCATGTAATAGTCTGTTATAAAATGCAGGAAAACATTTGTTCCATTGAATCGTGAGAGCCTAATATTGGACGCATCTATAAGGAGTCTCCATTCTTTATGTACTACGAAGGTCAAAGTCATATCAAGAGGTCAAAGGTCATATATTGTGACGTCATCTACTGAATCTTTTAGTTATTTTGCCATTGAATTTTTTTAATTCGCCAAAATATCTGAAACCACATTTGCCATTTTCTTTATTTTTACACATTTTATTTTAAGATCCATTTGAATCATTCTGTTGACTTTTTGTAAAAATTGAATTATACATTTTCTCTAAAGAAAACTTAAACTGTCGGATATTTACATGTGAATTTTCAATTCACTATGTTTGTTCTATTTTTACTTCATATTTTTACTCAAATTTCCCAGTATCAATATGACTTACTGATATAAAGTAACAAAAAGGTTATTCTTATTAAAATTATGACACAAATTTGCAATAGGTCAATTAGATAATTCTAAAATAAGGCTAATGCTCTTGTCGAATGTCTGATTTCACAATCTTCTTACGGGGGTCTGAAAGGCCATATTTAGACTATGTGGGGCAAAAATATTATGGTTGAAATTTATTCTCATATCATATATAAAGAGAGATTTTGTATCCTAGAACAAAATATCAAAGTTTGAGGAAAATTTGGCCTATCTATTGTGTCCTACCTTAAGAGACTTTATATCTTTGGGAATGGAATGGCTCACTATAGCCTTGAGTATTTGTCCTTATCTGGATAGTATATTGAACCTTCTTGTGGTGATGAGGAAAGTTTTAGAGATAAGCTACAATGTCACCTATGTTACTATATTTTTCTTTACTGTACAGGAGTTGCTATACAATGTATCCTGAAATGTTAAGTTTTCTCTTGAAATGAGGCAGGACGAGGCACTTTTGTCGCGTGGAAATATTTTCCGTGCTTGTGTGTATGCTGTAGTCTTTCTTGTTTTGTTAGAAATATCAATAAGTGTATCTTTTCTAAAACAAGGCACTTACAGATTGTTAAAATCATACGAGGTTTTGAAAAAATGGGATATTTCTTCATTTCACTCTGATTTTGGCGGCGTCCCAAAATGAATGTGACTGGATGGTGAATGCTACCATTAAAGACCTTCAGAGAATTCTGGACAGTGAGTGTCAACCAGTCAGGGTGTGTTCTATAAGTCCTCCTGCTCTTGGTGAGTTCTGTATTTAATATTGACAAAAAATGTCAGTCTATTAAAATGTGCTCTATTAGTTCACCAGATCTTGGTAAGTACGCTATGTAATGTGAGCAGGCAAATAAGTTCATTTAGATTCCCACGTCTTGGTAAGTATATTTAATGTGAGCAACAAACGTGTTCTAATAGTTCACCGGGTCTTGGTAAGTGCAATATTTATTGTGGGCAGGCAGTTGTGTTCTATTAGTCAGTTTACAATATCTTGGTAAGTAAACTATTTATTGTAGGCAGTAAAATGATTTTTTAGCCGGGCTTTGCTGAAAGCAAAGTCTGGCTCTAGGCATCATGATCGACTGTCTTACTATAATTAGCACAGTAAACAAAAAAACCAAACAACGTCAAAGCAGACGCTTCCGATAAACAAAATAGTCCCATTGCGAGACGACATTCAAACAAATATTTTTAACATCACAATCATTGGAAAAGTTAATGATCAATATTTTTTGCTTGATATTCAAACTGAAAGAGAAATTAGATATTTGCTTTATTGGGATAATCGTGATATAACAATTTGTACACATACTCTGCTGAATGCATATTGTAAGCGAACTACATGTATTTTCAATAGCGTGGGATTTTCGAAATGTTGAAATTGTTGAAGAGTTTCATGATTCATATCGTTTTCGTCGATGTTAGGATAGTGGTTTTATTCTGTTTTGATTTTTAGCAAATTAATACTATAGTGAATTGGAATTTTTAGAATGCGTGAAGTCGCTTGACAATGTACATGTATTCAGTGTTTCAACATGTAGTTGGCGATAAAAGTACTAGTACTGCTTGTTTGAAACTAAAAGAATGTCAAAAATATAAACATGTGCATTATTTTAACTGTTTGAAGACTGAATTTTTAAATTATGAGAAAAAATGCTTATTGAATAGAAAATATGCGATAATTTCTTGGAAATATTATTTATTTAATTTTAAAATCATAACATATCTTTGGGTATGGACTGTTAATTTTAATTACTGGTATACGGGATATTGTTTGAAACCATAATCATACAAGTTCAACCTGTTAAAAATCAGTGGCAAAAGGAAAACTATGTACTAATTTCGGATCAGACAACATAGTTACTCTAGCAATTTAAAGCCCGGCTTTCAGTTCTTTCAATAATTTGATTATATATTGTAGTTTCAAAATGTTTAAATCCCAAAGCTGGGGTTGGGCTACAGTTAAGTATTTCGATGTACATATCTAGCGAAATTGTGAGTCTTTAAAATTTTATGACTTGTAGTGGGGCAACTAGAAACATACAAAAGTGCACCACCCTATGAAGAATTGATCAAACTGTTCCCTCTTGTCAAGCCAGGAGGCCGATATACTCCGTATGAATGTATTTCCCGCGAGCGTGTGGCGATCATTATTCCTTTTAGGGATCGTGAGGAACACCTCAGGATTTTACTTCATAACCTACATCCGATTCTACAGAGACAACAGCTGGATTATGGGATTTATGTCATAGAACAAGTGAGTTGTGTAGCATTCCTATCAAGACCGTAGGAAGCAATTTCAGTTGGGGAAGGTGGCATTACCAAGCAAAAGTCTTTGACAAGAGTAGTATAAGCAGCCTGGATGGGGGTCAACTGAGTGCACTTTTTATGCAAATGAGGTAGAAAATGCTGAATTCTGACTGGTCAGCGGGATAGGCAGGTCAACTGAGTGCACTTTTGGCCCTGGGGGATAGCCGGGTCAACCAAGTGCACCCCCTGGGGGATAGGGGAGTCAACAGAGTGCACCCCCTGGGTCTGGATAGGGGGGTTAACTGAGTGCACTTTTAGGGCTGAGATCTGGAAATACTTATTTTGTCAGATCTCAGGCTTCAGATCTGGAAAAACACCATTTAAGATGTGAGATCTCAGGCTTGAGATCTGGAAAAAGGCCGTTTAGGCCTGAAATCTGGAAAAACCCAAGACTATGAATACACAGACTTGGCAGCGATTCAAATCACAGCTACCTATGCATTGTGACGTCATAAACTTGGCAGCGATTCAAATCTTGATTATGACGTCACGTTAGTCCTTCACAGCCTCGGTGGCTGGTTATTTTGACACAACAACACAGAATTACACAGCCCTGGAGACTTCATGTTAATAACTGTATGGTCCTATGGATTTCAGTACTTTAACTGATTTTCAACCATTGTTCTTCCAACAAAGTTCTGAACAGCTGAATCCTGGATCAGGTCAGATGTTATTTCACTGGATTATTTAATGAATATTACTATACTAAATATAAACATGGTTATCTGGTAAGTTTCACATATATTTGTTTATACATTTTCTATGAAGGTAATCTTTGTATTTATCATTATTACTGTGTTACATACCTAATGTTTATAACATTCATATAAACACTGCCATGTTTACCCTAAAATACACTAGGACACTAAGAGATCCTCAAAATGCTGATAAATCCTTTAGCATGAGTTATGATATATTATCTCACATTCCTTTTGTTGGATCAGTATTCTAAATATTCTTATGAGGAGCCTCATAGCATATCTTATAAAATCCAACAACAACTAAAGTGACATTCTCAGTTATTATTTTCTATGAATCTTTTATCACAGTGAACAAATGAAGGATATTTGACATAATCACTCAGATCATATTATGCCAGTGAATCTTTTCTATTAGATCTATTAGTTCTTTTTTATGAAACATGCAGAATCTCTTGTTTTATTTGTTACTCATACTTTTACATTCTGGTGCAACAGTGGCCCAGTGAAAGTGGGAAAAACTCAGTCTGAGAATCTCTGTAAATTTATAAAATGTGTACCCCCCTTTTTTTTTACCTTCATGTATATACATCAGTTATTGATTAAGAGTAATTGGTTATGTAAAGTTCTGTTTATATGAATGTAAATGTGGTATTTATCCCCAGTTCATGTGATGTATAATCTGCATGTAACCCAGAGTGCATTTAATATTTCTATGAAAGGGCATTCTATGATTGAATTTAAATAAGAAAAAAATGTTTACTAAATTTTGGTTAGATACAATTTGCTATCTTTTACAAGTCTGTCCTGTTTGTCTAAAAATTATTGATTCACTTCAGTGTAAAATGAGGTTAATTGTTTATCACTGAATATGTATGATTTTCCAGGATCAGCGGAGATGTTGTTTCACTGGATTATCTACTGGATAGACTTATTGGGCATATAGTTGAATATCTGGTAAGTTTGTCTTGTTTTTTTTTTTTGTTTTTTTTTCATTTCCTATGGTCATCTTTGCATTTAACCATGATTATATGGTTTAATTTAATTGCTGTGTAATACTTATGTGATCTAATGTCTCTAACAATGATATAAGCATGCACGGCCTTAATTAGCCTAAAATATAGTAAGGGATTTTCAGAATGTTAGTAAGACCTTTTGCATGAAGTATGATATGATTTCATAATTCCTTATGTCGGTCACCCATGGAATTCAGAATTACTAAATGGTGATGAAACAGATATTTACAATGTAATAAGAAAAAAGTAAGAATTTACAAAAGATTAATCCTAAGTCATTTACTTTTTGTCTTGCTTCAAAATATGTGTGACATGGCATACACATAGTTTCATTTTTTACACTTTCCTTTCTTAGTAAAGAACTTTTCAAAAATGTTAGGACTACATGTTGTACATGCTTGTAATTTTTTGTATACTGTACTGACAGGTATTTCAAAAAATTCAATCTGCTGTTAAGAAAAAAAGTCTTTTAATGTCTATATAATTACTCTGATTTTTTGTTATATCAATAAAGTAATTAACAAGTGTTTTTCTAAAGATAACATGATGTACTTTTTTCATCTTGAGTAAATGTTAAAGACATTTTTACAGTATTTTTTACAAACAAATATTTAGGTAATTGTTCAGAACAAATATTTTCATCCTTTTTGGCATTATATTTAAACGTGCATTGTTTCATGTAATATTGTGTCATAATAACATAATGGTTTTCTTTCTACAGTCATCAACATTGAAGGTATGTTTTGTTTCTGGACCATCTATAATCAATTCTCTATCTGCTCTTCCTTTGGAAATACACAAACAATCAACCAACATAGAAACAAACAAACTTTAAGGTAAAGTTTTAGTGGCATACAACTGTAATTTTTATTTTTTTACTATGCATGTTTATATTTTGAAATTAATTAAATTGATAAGTAAAAAATCAAGAGATCTGGTTGGTTCATGGTCATTTTAAACCAAATTGTTCTCCTTTAGAAGAAGAGCTCCATATAAAGATATAAAAAAAAATGATCAAATTTTGAAGCTAAAATGTATGACATTTTTCTTTGCCAAATGATTGTGAACACCTTAAGATAGCTTATCTAAAAAGTAAGTTATACATGGCTAATTTATTAACACCCAGCTTCCTTAATAGCATAGTTGGTAAAGATAGAAAGTTTTATCCCCAAGTGCTGATGGATTCTAAATTTTCATTGAATATTTACATTACACTACAGGGAAAGAATACTATAATGTGGCCTATCAGGATGAACAGTGAATAAATCTTATTGACTCTCATGACTTTGTCTAAAGGCTGTAACCTTATAGCTAATGTAAGATGATCTGATTGCATGGAATTAGAATTTCTTGGTGTTTCTACTACCAAAAATCTTCTTATGAGTGCATGTGGACCTTCTGTTGTTTTAATATACCTTGAAACATGACACTTTATTCATTAAAGGTACTTTCAGTATCATTTGTATCATTTCTATGAGCTTTTATTCTTTCTATTAATAATCTAGTAACTAGATGGTGTCATGAGACAGTAATACCCGCACTAAGGTGTTTGCCTCTAAATACACACTCCTTCATATTGGACTTTCCAAGGAAAAAGTCAAAATAATTCTATAATTATCACGGTACATGTATTCGTCAAATTGAGCATAAAATTTTCAGGTGACCATATGATCTATGAGCCTCATATATGTATTTTGTATACTTAGTTCATTACCAGTCTGAAATGACAGACTTTAATTAATGAAGTAAATTACTTAATTAGATTCCGATAAATATTTTGCCCATAATTTGGAATTTTTAAATTCACTTTCTCAACGACATAAAATATTATTTTAGTACAAAGCGTTTTTGATGAATTTATCAAAATGTGCAAACTGATTTTAGTATTTGGTCAGGAAAAAAACCCCATTGAAAATACAACCCAATTAATTTGTCAATGCCTATCTCTCATCCCCCCCCACCATCACACACACACACACTCTCTCTCACACATTTTTTAAAATAGACCTAGATGGCAAAGTTATGTGAAAACATCGTTTATTATGATAGTTTGAAATTTGCTCTTGTACTAAACAGTTTTACGTGTGAACATCCATTATCATATTTTTAGATATCACCACTCGGCACACCTCGGCCGATTCATACTTCATCTAATGAAGGCGACGGAATCAGCAAAGGTTTGCCGAATGAGATTATTTAGCACATGTATGCTGACGGTGCAGTGTGGTCAGTTAAAATCATTTGTGTTTTAATTGGATTATATGGATTATATTTCATGAATTCGTTGACAAGACCTGTGACAATCGGTAAGTACAAGATTTAGTATAGATTGCATAAAAATAGATAAATGCAAATGGTTAGATTGAAGTTCAAAAAGGGTCAAAGATCATCGCATGCCACAGTCGACAAATTCCACATTGTCAAGTTATCTCCCGTTGCGGACATTCAGTATATACAGGCACAGATCCAGAATTTTTTTTTTCGGAAAGGGGGGGGGGGTGTCACACCTCAGTCAAAAAAAATCCAGCCCAAGATTTCCTGAGAAGCAAATAAAAAAAAATAAAAACAATGATGGTGGGGTCCATGTTTTCTAAGGGGGAGGATGTAAAGTCATTTTTATTCTCTTCAGTAAATAGTCTTATTCAAATAACTGCAAATTATAGGGAGGGGGGGGGGTCTGATCTCCCTAGCCACTGACTCCCTGTACCTGATCTTATGACTCCATAATAGTAGAAAATTTTTCCATTTGACTATATTTACATATTTTGTTTCCTGTGTTTATATCTGTTTGTTTGTCCAAAGAAACTTTTACCTTGCCCATAAGTTTTAAGTGGATTTGGCTATACACACGGCGCTCATATTTCATAGGTAAATTTCTTTTGGCAAAACCTTTTAATGGGTACCACCAATTTTGAACTCTTGATCTCTTAACCTTGGAGTTTGACCCACTTTTACAAGAAAAATACCTTAAACTTGGCCTAAGTTTTGAACAGTTGGTGCTAGGACTTTCATGCTTAACATGTGTAATCATTGTGAACTTTAAACAGGTATAAATATTTTTAACCTTGACCCTAGAGTTGAACCCAATTTAATTTTAACCTTGGCAATAACTTTTGAACAGGTGAGGAAGTACTAGGGATTTCTCTCTTATTTTACATGTGTATTCCGTTGTGACAAGACTTTCCCTTTGACACCAACAATTTTGACCCTTTGACCTTGACCTTGGAGTTTGA